GATGCACTACTAGGCCCCGCCACGACGCCGCCGCTGCCCCGTCCTTGACCAAGCCCGATATGTTGCGTTCCCAGTCCGATGAGCTGCTATGGGGCCCTGGGCCGTATGGCTGTGGACCAGGACCGGGCCTCGCCAAGGCCGAGGCTTGGGAACTCATCCATTTTAAAGCATCTGTGCTGCCCCAACCCCCTTCCCCCCGAAAAAATGCTTTCCAGATTCTAGTACGAGTAACTACTCAAAAAAATAATCCACCTCATTTTCTTTTAAGCAAATACTTCCGATCAGGATCAGCGACACTTATATCGCTAATCCCTGGTCTAATCAGCGCCCAGATGGCCTGCGCCTCCGGATGTCACAACTTATCCACCGCCATAAACGAAATAAGATTATTCGATTCTAAACCGGCGCCACCCGTCAGTCAAAGACGAGAGTAGCGAAAGCGACACTTACGAACTCGAGGAACTTGATGAGGGCGAACCTGCTGATGGCCATGTTGACTGGAGGTTTAGCGGGGCGGCGCTAAGAGATCTGCAACAAGAAGACAGAAGCGTCGTCAGAAACCAGTTTGGCTGTCCGGGCGAGAGCATGGGCGTGAGTCACCGCGAAGCCCGCGCGGAACGTCACCGCGGCTGCACAGCGGGGCGGGGCGGGTCAGAGCCGCGCCACACCCACGTACGCCCCGCGCGCAACAGGATGCATCGCGAGGGGCTGCGCTGTAGACACAACTAACCTGGCGCGGGGGCGACTCGACCCAACAAATCGCCAAAAGAACGGACCCGGAAAAATAAACACACACTAAAAAATCGGGGCGAACGAGGCGACCAAACACGTTCTGACGTCGCGACAAGCCATCTACACTGGAAACATCAACGCAACGCTGCAAATTTCTTTTCCTTGCCCTTTTTGTTTTCGGGGCAGTTGCAAAAGCATCACTTTGCAATTGCAAAGCAAATGCTTGTTGTCAATTACGAAGGTTGTAAATCCTTCGCAAATCTGCAAAGCATCATTGCTTTGCAGGAATTTGCAGGAGTGCAAGCGTCCAGCTCTGCGGCACTCGCGGCGTTCCCATCCCACCTACCTCGGCCCCGACATGTTATGCATAAGTGGCGCCGGCGACATGGGGCACGAGTCCGGATACCCACCCCCCGCGGGCCGTGCGAGATAAGCCCTGCCACGCCACGCCCCACCCCGCCACGCCCGGCCACACCACGCACCGCCACGCACCGCCCCCACACACGCTGGCGGCTGGCGGCGGCGTCGTTCAGGGTAATGCGGGCTGCATTTCCCAGTCCGGTTAAGTACAGTGCAGGCCGATGTGCGCGCGCCGTCCAGGGCGTTACGAGGCGCGACAGTTTTACGGCAGCTGTGTGGTGACACTGACGAGGAAAGAGGGGAGGTGGGGAAGAAGAAGAAGAAGGGCTGCTCACTGAATAAACCTTTCCGTCCTGCTTTTAAGAATTCCGCGGGCGGCGGAGCGGGCGGGCGTTCGTCGCCGCCTCGCCCGACCCGTCACACGGCCCGCGAATAACAACAGGGACAAGTACAGTGCGGAGCAGTACAGTTACCGTCGCCGGAATGGAGGCTTTTGCTCAGGATGACCGCTTCTCTGTCGATTCAATTCTATGCGTTGCACCGTCTATAGAGGGCGCCGCCTTCGCTATAGCGCCGTGCGGTTGTTTGTGAGTGCTTGCGTGAGTGTGCGTGTGCGTGTAGGGCAAAGGCGCCGCGGCGCCCACGTGCTGTGGCTTTGAAAGCATGCGGGGCGGGGTGGGGCGGGCGTGGTGGCCGCGCCCCCTTGGTCCTGCGTGGCGGGGCGGGCCTAGAGCACAGCAGAAGACGGCGGCCAGAGGCAGGCGCGCGGGCGCCTCCAACGCGACCAAACCCTCGTAAAACTGCGTCTATTTGTAAAGCGCGGCAGCTAGTTGGAGAACAATATCACAGCGTGATCGGCTTCTGCTGCCTGCTCTGCTGCTGCGGCCCGCCTGATCTGCTGTGTGTGTGCGTGTGTGTCGGCTTGTGTACATCAGCCGGTGGGCGCGGACACACCGCGCGCTGACGGGCAGAAACATTACGTACTTGAGTGTCCCTCGCGGTACGCCGCACCGCCGCCAGGTCCCTGGCATGTCCCTGCCGTCCTGTTCCCACGGCCCTGGCCTGGCCCTTCCCCTTCCTCTCCCCCATCCCTTTCTCTGTCTTTTCCCCCTTCTCTCACTCTCCCTCTCTCTCTCTCCCTCGCTCCTGCTGCGGCCCTCGTCCTAGTCTTGCCTAGAGTGTCTCTACCTCGCCCTTGGGGACTGGCCGCCGCGGTCAGCTCACGCAGTCGTGAACTTCTACATGCGGAAACGAAAAAAGGCCTCCCAGCCAGCTTAATAATGCGTTTATAGTATTTCCAAATTTTACCGAAATTCAGGTCTCCTTTTCGTGCTTCTGGAGTCGACAGCAATCCCCAAACTCTATACGTTGTGAGACGTGAGACCCAGCGAATCTTCTATGGGACAAGTTAAGTTTTGTTTCTGTTATTTGGTCCGCGGTGGTTTTATACTTCATCGCTGCACTGCACCGCACGGCTGCTGCGGAGAAAGCGGCCAAACTGGGCAGCAGCCGAGATGGTCCGGGCGGGGCGGGCTAGTCTGTGGAACAGAAGAGCCGCTGAGTCGCTGCTGCAGCGGCTGCAGCCGCGGCCAAGGGCCGGACCGGCGGCCACGGACTCCGCGGAGCAGCAGCTCGATCCCTTCGAGAGATCGAGAGCTGTTCAAAAGGTCCTCTCGAGCGCACCGCTCGCTGTGTGGTCCCCGCGACTGGCCCGGCCCCGCACTCGCACTGCCGGTGGTGAGATCACCACCACTAGTCCCGCGGGAAATTAATTCTCGATTATCGCCGCTCTGTTCAGCGATCGCGATGCTGCTCTTGGACTGTCATTGCCTGTGGCATGCGCATGGCGGGGCGTGGCGCGGTGTGTGGCGGGGAGAGGCGTGGGAGGCGAGTGCGGGCGGACGCGCACACACTTCAACTCTTATCGAACATTCCCTAGCTAGAAACACAGCGGAGACACACGTCAACGTGTTAATCTGCAAACTCTCACAACAGAAATAGCGCGCTGCAGTGATATTATTCGCTTTGCGGAAAAGAGGGATTAGTCGTCGGGTGAGGTGACTCACAGCCTTTGCTCTTTGACCCTTCTGCACCAGCTCACAATGTCTTCACAATAACCGATAAGCCCAATCACCAATGATTCATGTTTGGGTTTTTGTTGTTTTTTTGCCCAGTAATTAGCGGGAGTGAGTCCGTGTAGCTCGCCGCCGGCTGGACGGACTTTGGCCCGCGGAGAAGAGATGGAGAGGAATTTGTAGGTCAGGGCCCTTGGCCGCAGCCACGCCCCGCCACGCCCCGCCACGCCCCGCCACGCCCCGCCACGCCCCGCACACCCACCGCACAGCGGCCCTAGCGCAGCAGCGTATAAGCCCCGTAAGAACCCGAGTGCACAATGAGAGACGAAGAGGCGACGACACACCACACACCAGTGGCAACAACAAACTGATGAGTTTAAAGACTAAAACAAATTTCCCAGCAAATAAATTTCATGCGAAAAATTCGACCAACGCGTACATATTTTTCATTGTCACCGCGCTTGTCCTCCGCGAGACCACCCGTCATCTTTTCTAGTTTTATTTTTTGGGGTCCCGCGGCGCGTCGGCGACGGCGGCCTGCGGGGAGTTGCACAAGGAGGCGACGTGTCTCGGCGCTGAGGCCATTGTGTGTGTCCAGGGGCGTGAGGAGGAGGAGGAGG